CAGAATACCAATGTCCTAGCCAGTGTGCTTATGAGAGGCGTCCCCCCTGGATGTCTGCCATTTTGAATATTATCAGTGGGCGAATCGCACTGGCTAGGACCATGGCGTCAGCATCTCGACGACAAATTACGGTTACGCCAAAATAATAGGAAAAACCAAGACGTCAGGCATACAGTCTCTCTTCTGTGTCAATATTCTCGATATTAATGACTTGGCTCAACATTCTGAGTACTTAATTATCTTGGGTAAATATAAGATTTTAAATATAAGAATTTATATCTGTATATTTTTAACAGTAAAATACTGTATACCAAAAAAAAACAATGTACCTGAAAACGTTTAATTTTATTATAGAAAACAGAGAATTGAATTTCCGTTCCGGCTCAACTGCTACGGTTGCAGTTTTGAGAAATGGTGAAGAATTAATTGTAGCCAGCGCTGGGGATAGCCGAGCTATTTTATGCAGCGAAGGGAAGGCGCACTTGCTAACCAACGACCATACTCCATCGTCAACTGATGAAAAAAATCGAGTGCTTGCCAGTGGTGGCTCAGTGGAAATTGACGGTGAAATGACTCCAAGGGTGAATGGTCGTTTAGCAATGACGAGATGTTTTGGAAACTTTGATCTGAAACCTTTTGGTGTTATTGCCATTCCTGAGATACAAACTCTTGAAGTAGATCAGGACAAAGACAATTTTCTAGCCCTGATAACCGATGGTGTTTCTGCGGTAATGAACACCGATCAAACCGTCAGTATTCTGAGTAGTTCGTTAGAGCCAGAGGAGTCTGTCGAGACACTTACAACGTGTGCGGTACAGTTTGGCTCTGAGGACGATATCACTGCGATACTTTTGCCATTCAGGTCGTTTGGGATGAGATCTGATAACGAGCAAGATTTTAACTTTTTAACGAGTTTTAGAAATGGTTTAACAAAATATGTGTAAATAAAAATATTTAAAAGAAATTATTTTAAAACTTCACAGTTGTTTGTTATCTGTTCTTATTTGTTCTTTGTGAAGCCTTCATCAACTCTGTTTTCTTGACCTTTCGATAGACGCCTCAGAAATGCAAGTATAGAGTCTTGTTGTTGTGATTGAGATGGTAGGCTTTGACTAATGTAACATACACAAAAACGATGCTCTAAGGGCCTGTTCATATGAGCCGGGCTCTATGGCTGGGCTAGCCCGGTAACCAGACCTTCCGTCAATAAAAATAGCATTTTTCAAAATTAAACGAATATAGGGCTTGCGGGCTAGCTCGCCTCATGTGAAACAAATAACAACTTGGCACGGCAAGCAAGCTAGCCCGGTTTAACAGGCCAGCCTGGCTCATATGAACAGGCCTAAAGCCAAATTTCTCGGTCCAAGTGAAAAACTGGGCAAATCTCAGCTCCATTTCAGTGATTTCACCTCTTTTACTCTCCATTTGTAGGGGCCCTGACCACAAAAAGAGAAAAATCTTAGTGCTTGAATTAAACAAGTAGAAATAATTTCTACTTGTTTAATTCAAGTACTAAAATGTTTGCAGGGGCATAGGAACCGGGGGGGTGGCACGGGGGGCATGTGCCCCCCAAATTTTTTCAAAGGACTAAAAGTGCCCTTTTTGTACAAGCTAATGTCGCTGTAAATAATAAATTAACATCAAAGGTGCCCTTTTTGTTTGGAAATTTCCAAGTTTTTAAAAAATTTGGTCACGTGCAATTTCGGCATGGTACGACGGGAACATTTCTCCGTCGCCAACATTTCCGGGAAAATTTTTTAGGTGCCCTTTTCGATACCCTAAAGTGCCCCTAGAAGCCGGTGCCCCCCAATCTTTTGATGCTTCCTACGCCCCTGAATGTTTGTCTAGAGGGTGGATTTCACTACAAAATCTTCTGTTTGGGTATCCTATTTGTGACGTCACAACTCAGATTACACGTTTATTGTCACAGAATTAGTTTGAAAATAACAAAATTTGATGACTTACGTGAAGGAGCCATGTAATTTACGTAAATCTATTCCCGAAAAAACTTAAAACATGTTTTTGGTGTGTTTTTTTTTTGCAAATACTTTACTTCTGCAAAATATTGTGCGCATGGGACGCTCATTACCCACTCCACGAAACAATACAGAACTAATGATGCGCGCAAAATAGCACAGAATCAAGACAAAACGTTTGAATAAATTACAAAGATTTCAATGCTTTCTATCGAGCTTTTTATTTTGAACAAATTAGCAATTTTGCAATCATGGTCATTAAATATTCAGATGACAGTTGATCACCTGACATAATTCTCGAAATCCGATTGGCTGGTGGGATATTTTCGCGAGTTTTGATTGGTTAATCGATCTTCAAATCAGCAGGTTTTGGCGCACTTTTGACGTTTGACAAGCATTCTTCGTTTACTCTTTCGTTTCGCTGACGCATCACTGTAGAAGACACAAATTTTTAAAATGGTTAGTAAAAATAATCCTTTGCATCCGTCGATTTATACGCCTCTAAACTCGATTCTTTTACTAAATATATATTAACTGATAACCTATGAACGTTATTTTGTATATTTGTAGTTGTATTCTTGTCGAAATCTGTATATTTTTGTGATTTTGTAGGCTGGAGGTAAAGCAGGAAAGGACTCGAAAACAAAGGCCAAAGCCGTATCGCGATCGGCCCGTGCTGGCTTACAGGTATATATTTCGAGCTTCTCTTCTGCTTTATAATCGATACAAGTCCATTTCATCCTAAGCCGTTTGTGTATAGCAAAGATAATGTAAGATTTTTTTCGTATTTTTATAGTTTCCCGTCGGTCGTATACACAGACATTTGAAGAACCGTACGACAAGTCATGGACGTGTCGGAGCGACTGCCGCTGTATATAGTGCTGCTATTTTAGAGTATCTTACAGCAGAGGTAAAATAAACCTTTAAAAACCTTAAAATTTATTGAATTTTGGGCACAAATGGGCTGTCACTGTCGGTTGTAGTTTTAGCAAGCCGGCTGGGCTTATTGTTTTGTCAAATTTGGCGCCCTGCCTATAGAAATGCAATTTTGAAGCGCGGTAGTCTAAATTTTGTAATATAGAAAGGTCCTTTGCTTGAATTTAGCTAAAATGGGCTTATTCAAAGTGGTTGTGCAGAGGCCGGCTTGTCGTTTTGAAATTTTCCCGCCTCAATTTCCCTCCTTTTTGTGTCCGCCATTCATAAAACATGGCTGCCGCGTCCTTGAAATTACAATCCTTGCATTCAAAGCAAAATGCGATAGATTCGTTGAAATATACAAAACACAAAAGGGGAATTGAGGGAATGTCTTGTAGTGAAGGATTTTCACATGAATTGAGGGATATGGAATAAACATTAGTGATTTTACTCACTAGTATGCCAAGAGCAAGTTCAAACATCTCAATCAGATAGATCTGCAGGGCAACAATGACAAAAATAATAAAACAGCAAAATTCAGTTGCGAGAAACGACATGAGAGCATTTCGCTTGCTAATATGCATGTAGCCCAGACTGTAAAGTTTGGCCTGTGCAGGGAAAGCGTTCCCAGCGCAGAAATTTTAGCTGAATTTCTGTCTGTGCATTTTCAAGAAAATCCTACAAAATCTGCATATTTCTGATGAACTAATGATATATTTTGTCTCATATGTGTTGGGCCTTGCGAGAGAAAACTCTGAAAATGCCTTTTCAGACCAACTAGAGACTCCAAATTTTCGAAATTTTCTCAAAGTTCTGCCTTCATTTCCGTGCATCTGCCATTTACAACGGAAAGTTCCCCGCACAAAAATAATACTTTACAGTCTGGCATGTTGCTTGTATAATTATTATCATAGCCAAGATTGAGAGATCGGCAAAATGCATGTGCAAGGTAGATTTCTGCCTGCCATACTTAACAGGATGGCTTTGAATACTTCTGTGTGAGCTGTCGTGTTTTTTTTTGTGTGCATCTAATGACCAATATGTTCATTGGATGCATACAAAAAGCTTTACAATATTGATACTGAACATTTGCAAATATATGTATTATCTCGAATCAAAACTGCACAGCCGAGATATCTGTTGCATGATAAAGACTTTCCACAGACAAACTGCACAACGTTTCTTTGACAGGTCCTCGAGTTGGCAGGAAATGCGTCAAAAGATCTCAAAGTAAAACGTATCACACCTCGCCATTTGCAACTAGCTATCCGTGGTGACGAAGAACTCGATTCGCTTATCAAAGCAACAATTGCCGGGGGTGGTAAGTTACCTATCTATTTGATTGTCAGTATTGGTACCTTGGTGTATTTCTGGTTGGTCAACTGACCCTACGTCCCCCACAGAATATATTATAGGGAAAGGCACTGTTGCATACTATGTTTCACAAAAAAACAGGCACACCTATATCAATCATGCTTGGACGTGTCCTTGATGAACAAACAACTAGAGTGAGGTAGTTTATACCAAAAACCGAGTGAACTTTTTTTTTTTAATACGTTTGAAAATCGAAACTACAGTAAAAAAAGATGCAAGACATTACTCAGTACTCACACAAAATATTAAACATTTTTGAAGACGTTATCAAATTTCAAACATTCGATTAATTTGCAACAAACTCGTATAGGTATGGTTCGATTTTAGTAAAATACCGATTTTTGTTTGCGTTTTTTTCTCGGTTTTTCTCCAAAAGTAACATCGAGTATTTCGGTTTTCAAAAACATCTTTTTTTCGGTTTACCGAAAAACCGCCTCGCTCTACAAACAACTACAAGCTATTTGGTATTTGGAATGGGTCATTCCAGAAAACATCCATATCTCCCCCACAGAGGAAATTGGAAGTTACCTTACCCCCTTCGGCATAGGCGTACGGGAAGGAAAAAATTAGGGGGGCCTAGAAAGAAATTTGCCCGACTTTTTCTGATTGTGCCAGACAAGTGCCGAAAAACTTTTTTCCTGGAACAATTTATTTTCGCCACCTATCCCCCCCTCCCCCCCCCTCCTCTGTCACCAAAAAAATTTCGGTCAGTGTACCATTTTAGGGGTCCAAAAATTTTTCAACAAAAAACTTGTTTTTTTGACTACTTTTTGCCCGACTTTTGTTGAATATTTGCCCGACTTTTCGACTCGCCTCGGGGTAGCTGCTTGCCCTGCCCCCGTCCCGTACGCCTATGCCCTTTGGGTCAGCTACTTGTCAAGGGGAAGGCACTCGTTGTTCAATGGATTAATTTTGTGACGCAACTATTTTTCAGGTGTTATTCCACATATCCACAAGAGTTTGATCGGCAAGAAGGGCACAGCAAAGCCACAATAGTTAACAAAAACACAGCATCGACATCGTATCTCATTCCTGTCTCGCCTCCACTTACACAGGATGAACAAATGTATATTAAGTTCCATGTATATTATTGGTTTTTGAAAAAGGATTCTGGGATCTAGGAGTCTGGCCATTTTAATTTGCAAACATTTGTTATTTAATATGTGTAGTGTTAAAATGTTAGTGGTGTTCTCTTTTTAACAAAACCGTGTACAGCTTCATTATCGTCAGTGTAATATCTAGTAAAGTTTTTCAAAAAACTAAAGTTGTGTGTTGTGTGTCCAAAATGGAATGGGTAGGGTATCCTCGTGTTCTTGTGAACCAATTTCTGACTGGGCACTATTTTGTTTATTCCTGCTGATCACCAGAACCTCCTGTAACATGTCAGATTGTCAGGCATATTAATGATAATGCATCACAGATGCTCAATCCAGTTTTGAGATCGGAGCATGTTACGAAATGACCCAGTATGTAACCTATTTGTATCTCGGGAGATCAATTTGTGTAGTATCATAGGCTGCCCAAAAGTGCGTGTTGAAATTTTTACCCTCCCGCGTGGCGCTCGGCATGCATCGAGTCTACTCGGTTTAATAAACTGAGTAGACTCGATGCAGGTGGACTCGATGCACGCGCGAGGGTAAAAATTTCAACACGCACTTTTGGGCAGCCTATGGTATTATAAATTTGGATGAGGCGAAAATTCTCCCTGTACGCCAGGTGATCTCTCAACTCGGAAAAGTCCTGGCATTAGTTGTAAAATAGAAATCCATTCTGGTTTAAAATTACTCTATATCTCCTCAACGGTATTATATTTCTATTTCAAATTTGTCCCAGACATTCATTTCCCTGTGCAAGACAGACGCAAAGTTTCAAGCAGTTTCACAAAAGAATCTGGGCGTGATAACTGATTAAATCTACGAAACTGGATTTCTGTTGCTAGTCCCAGTCCTTTTGCTCACCGTCAGATCACCTGGACGAAGTTCGACCTTGCTACTGTGTCTGCGTTCCTTTCGGTCAACACTGCCTACACCAAAGTACTTCATATATGCTTGTATTTCCTGTCAGAGTTTTGGGTAGGGTTTTAGACACTCTTAATAAGACAAGACACTCTAATATATAAACACTCTAATAAGACAAGCGCTACCCATACATGCATTTTATGTCCTAAATGATCTTGGCAAAACAGCCTAATACCCAATTTTTATGTAATCTCTGGATCTCCCACAAAGGCCTTGATATTGATTTCATCATCATCGGTACTTTGAATAAATTGTTGATTGTAATGAGGTGTTCACTAATGACTTCTTTTATCTTTGGTTTGATCATCAACGTCTAAATTCAACTAAACGTTTTTGGCAGCTGCAGAGACACATGACATACTTATGTGAATATTGCCATACGAGTTCTGATAATCCAAATCAAAGAAAGTTAACAGCCTATTAGCCCTAAATTCTAAAGTAAACTACTGAATATACTCTGTTTAAAAGCAAAATCTTGCCTACATTTTCAACACCGTGGATAATTAGAAATAGGTTTAACCGAAATTTCTTATCAGTTTTGGCTTGTGAAAACACAACGTCTTCACAAGTGCTAATAGTATTTCACACGTCCTTTACATACAAAACAATCCCACGTACGTCGCGATCTATTTGCTCGCGAGAATTACATGTATAAAGTTCTATGCCTATGGAGTATTGTAATGTATTTAATGACACACAAATTATGAACATGTCATGACAGATCCTTCACAATATACAAGAAACGAAATCGTATATATGTCGTTTTAATGAAAGTCCTGTTAATAGATTAATTTTGTTTGGATTATCCATCAAATTGTTTATATACGTGCCCGACAAATCGTATTTTACGTTGTCTATATTTGTTGTCATGGAGCAAGAACCGACCACCTGCAAAAAGTTAACAGGCTAGCGAGAATTGCTGTATTAAAATTCGTCTGTTTTCAAGCGCTTTTAGTAGCCTACTGTGTAGAATACGAAGAAAGCTAAATTTCTGGTCAGGTTTCGTGTATGTATAAGACATAGTTTAAGTTTGATTCGATGAAAGCGATATTTCAACGTTTGCAGTTCTAATTGAATAAAGTGACAATTATTGATCATAGCGAATTTTCTCCGCAGCGGACGGCTGCCTAAATTCGGCGTAGTTTTCGCTGTAAAACCACAAAGTGATAAGTCTTAACAACATTCTAGTTCAATATGGTCGTTAATATATAAAACAGAGTAGGGAATCGAGTTTAACTATGGACTCAACCGATTGTAAAGATTTTTTGATACCGAAAGATGATCGGAAATGGTATTACTTCATTCTCACATCCGTGACAATATTTTTCGGTGGACTGCTTGTGATTCTATGTGGACGATTGTTGGTTAGATTATGCGAAAGCAAGGGAACGAAAACGGCGCGCGTTACACCACCAAGTAGCGCAAAGTCAAGAAAATCTGCATCGAAAAACGGTAGACCTGCATTCAACAATGACGAAGATGAAGGCGGCGTCTATGTTAGCATCAAAGAGGGTGCAGGATCACTTATAAATGGCAAATCTTTAAAAGGCCGAATTATGGTAAAGCTTTATCTATTTCTGTAGTCATTATTGTGTAAATCCATGTCTATTCTAGCTCACGGAATCGACAAATAGCTCCGGAAATGGTAATCGTGTCGATTCTGTGAGGCTAGATGAACATGGAATGGGAGGAATTTGGAACCGCGTATCCATCTTCCTCCGATCCGTTCGTTCACATGAGAATTCGTACGGTTACCCGTGCTCCATTCGTCCGTTTTCGTGCGTCGTGTGTGAACTGGAAATGTGAAATTGTACTCGGAAATGGCTCCGAGCTGGTCGAGAGCACGAGTTAACACCGGACGGGTACAGCTAACCGTGGGTTCTCGTGCGAAGAAAATGGAAGCGGACGGTGTACCGTTTCGCTTGAAAGTTCCGTTTGAAATGCTGTTAAAATGCTGTGCTGCGTGGGAATTAGGGCATTCAGCAATGTCGTTGCAAATGCTTTTCGAACGTAGGGTTTCCGTTGGCAAAAAAATAGCCGTCGTAATTTTATACGACCCAGTTGTGCCGTCGTAAAAATGGAAAATGCTGCCGTGATCACGTTTGGCAACGGCAATTCAGCGCTAAAATGATTTCTATTCAAATTTTCATTTCCGACTGCGTTCAGAGTTCAGACATAATTGAATAACGGCTGCTTTTAGCAGAAATGATTGGCATATTGTCAAAGATATAATGCGTTTAAATATCTTTCTATTTTAATATTCCTGTATTTCAATCGTGTATTTTACACGATTGCTACAACAAAGAGTAGATTTTACTTGAAATTTTAGGGCATATTTTATTAGGTCAACATCGTTCTTATCTTTGAAAATTCTTTGCCATAAATGCTAATGTGTAATATTTGATAATGTAAACTTAAATCCAATGTGTATAAGCCGCATTATATTAACAAGCTTACGAGGGTCAAATTTTTTCTTGTTAATTGTAAAATTTAAAAAAAAATACTTAGAAAAAGGAATTCGTACTAAAATTGTGTTCTAGATCAACACATTTTGTGTTTAAGTAGCTTTTAAATCTAATACGCAAATGTTTAGGCCCTTCCCCACTGAAATAGATTTTTGCGCATTAATTTTTAATAATGTCGCAAACGTTGCCTTGGTGATATAACGGATCGTACCTGTTTGTGGTCGAGTAAGAAGGCCATCTCTAAGATACGTGTGTTTATTTATTTTTTGAGGCTAAAATATGTAGCCAGGGCTAATTGAAGGGTTTGAAAACAAAAATGTGTTGATATGTTAAAAACGCGAGTCGAAGCATGTATCCAAGTTGTGTTGAGAAGTCTGTAAATGTCGTCTGCGTAACACTTAACATAGCAACTCTGCCATCCAGTCATGATCCAGTGACAGGAATGTTTCGTCTTCTTTTCGCTGTTTTGAAAGCCCCACTGCATCCAGTTATAATCCAGTGGTCAGAATGTTTCATTGTCTTCTCATTGTTTTGAAAATCCCACTGTACTCCATGCCATCCAGTCATGATCCAGTGATCAGAATGTTCCATTGTCTTTCCACTATTTCGCTCACACACACACTGTTGTATTATTGTACGGGTAAATTTTCCATTGAACGAGGGCATCCCAAGGATGGGGAGAGCAAAGGGAAAATTTTCCCCACCCCCAACCTAGCCCCCTCGCATATATTATTCAAACACATGCATGCATGCGAGCAAAGCTGAATTGGTTCCGTACGTGCCATGCCAGCTGAATTTGCCAGCTGTAGTCCCAGCTTGAAGTTTTTATTCTTAAATATTTTTATTTAAATTTATTTAAATACAGATAAATTTACTAAAAAAATTGAAAACGTGCCCAAATTGCACGCAATATATATAGGTCTATATAGCCTTCGCCAGATTCACGCCAACTTTGCTCTTACAATGAAAAGATTATTTCGGGGGCTAATTCGAGCATACTACTTGAGATAATTACACACCCTGCATCTTCTGATATAATCTTAAGATTACCCTGTTAAAATAAAGGTTTCATTCATCTTTGGATGATTATCACCTTCAACAAAATAATACATGTTTCAAAGAATTAAAGGAGTGTATA